TGGTACCGTTGTTCATCCATTCGCTATGGTTAAAGCCACTAACGGACCGATTATTATCGGAGAAAATAACATCATCGAAGACCGATGTCTTATTGAAAATATGTGAGTTCCCTTTTTCTTCACATGAATTTCAGAAAGGAGCAATATCAACTGCGTCCCTAACATATGACAAGGTCGCCGAGCGGTCGCGTGCGCGTGCGATCTACGAACCACCATGCTGGCTCGTGTGGAAGTTATTTATAGTTGGAGAATTACTGGACTCACTATCAGCATGAGATACATCGACCCCGTGGAAATAGAGGACGCCAAGAGGTCGCATTAGACAGCCGATTAATTTTTACCCCACGAGTTTCGAGATTGAGAACGAACTTAAGAAAATTGGCCTTATGGCCTAGTCTCGTGTAGCAGAGGTGTCTCTCGTACTTACTTAAAAGTTGTTCTCTTCAGTTTCCTTTTTTGTTCTCGACAGTTTCTTAAAATATCTTACTCCATCAAGAGTTGTCAAATGATAACCTGTTCAACTTGTTTATTGTTAGTGTCTTATTCACAGCTGATTCGACATTGGTGACGCCTATATATCTAGAAAGAGCGAAATTTCACATTCACATTGTAAATGGTTATATTGGGACATCTCTTATGGAAATATTAGCAATTTCTTGCGTTTTTAGCATCGCTTTGTCCTGATGTTTCGTAACATAAAGAAGGCCAAGATACGATAGAAAAAATGAAATATAAACCCAAAATTCTAATAAGATTTACGCTGTGCTACTGTGCACCACACTTGAAAATCTGCGGGAAATCTAAACCCCACTAGACTTAGGCAAGCAGACTCAAGCCAACCTCAACTGGGTTTGTGGAGTTACCAGAGTTTCCATATTTCGAGGCTGGAACGAGACATGGGGGATTATAAGACTTTTAGGATCACACAATCGGAAAGGAAGCGTCTAGAAGTGATTTGCATTCGTTAATAATACCATTCAAACACATTTATAGTCCGTGACGTTGAATCCGATCATTGGTTTTTGTGTCGGAGCCCTCCAGGCACTCGTGGGTCAGCCTTCATCTGTTATTCATTGTGAAACGGACATAAAAAGGGTGATTTCGGTAAATTCCGAAACTCACAGTTTTTTCCTTTCAGACTGGAAGAAGGCGATAAAGTAATGGAAATCGGAGATCAAAATATTGTGGAAGTCGGAGCAGGTCTGGTCCCATGTCTATAGGCTTTTAAAATTAATTTTTTTTCAGAAAAACTGGGTGAAAATATAGAAAAAAAGCAGTACTTCTTCACTATTTCCTACACATCTACTTTCCTTCTTCGCTTTGCACTCAACGATGATTTGCACGCTTTGAAAACTATCCATTTTCAGTAATTCACGCGCCACGAATCGGCAACAACAATGTGATGCACGTACAATGTGAAGTCGGTCCAGACAGTTGTGTAAGCAATGGTTGTTCTGTTGGAGTACGATGTAAGCTTTTGGCCAAAGAAACTCTCCCTGAACGAACCGTTATCTATGGAAAATGGAATGAACGACGAGTTGCTAACGATAATCCACCGGTACGGCCTCAGTTATTTCATGTATTGCTTGGCATCAGCCAACATTTAATTCCATCTCTTGTCAGGTTCCTCAAGGTCAACTTGAAGTATTGCGGAGACTGCTACCATCGTATCACTATCTTCAAAAGTCGAAAGCATAAACACTATGGGCTTAACATATATTTCATTTAATAAATCGTTTTGTAATTTGGGAAACAGCCATCAACAACAATAACAATCAACAGACAACAACAAAAAGCAAATCATTCTTCCATGTCCTCTTCTACGCCATTTTCGTAATCACCATCATCATCGGATCCCTGTCCTGAGTCGTCTTCCATGTCGACCATCTGTGATGATGACGGCTGGTCTTTTGATTTTTTGAGGGCTTTGACTTTTCTAAAGTAAATAATAATAAAATTTTCTTGATTTACAGCAAATGGGTACAAAAGACTATCCGAGGAAAGTCGAGCTATCGAATCATCCGCATCGATCAATGAGCGGTATAACAAAAGTCCATAAGGATTCATGCGAATTTCGCCGGAAATATTCCATCTCATAGTTGTGGTGGTCATACCTCTAAGTCAAACCGTGAACCAACGACACCACTCGCTGGCTGGCTTTCCAATTGGAAGCAAAGAAAGGTGCTTCGACTACTATGTCCAGGCAAAACGCGCCATTCACATTTTTCCCATTCCAAAGTCTCTAACTTTCCATTGAAGTGCTGAACTTGTGCATCTATGTTCAGAGGGTAGCTCAAGGGGCATAATACGAGTTCGTCTATTCCCTGAGAGCCCTAAGGATGAGTGAAACACCTGCCTCTTTAATAAATATCCCACCTTTACTCACTGTGTCTAAACTCAAGAAGTTTGGTTGCTATGATACTTAATGCAACTCGTGGGATGGAAGAAAAAGCATAGACAGGACAGCATACCTTGTTTGGATTGCGTCGGTATTCTGTTTACCAATATGAACACGAGCAAGCTGATTACCGAACACATCTTCCGACATGTTCTTTCGACGCTTGGACTGAAAGTTAGGCAATATTCGATAAAAGCATCACAAGCATTTAATGACGCCAGAAATTCTGCCAACGAAAAGTTCGAATTTACGAGAGTACCAATTTGACTCACCATTAGTGCCTTCGGTTTCTTACATGCGGCCTTGTATAGACTGTCACTGGCAAGTTTCGTTCGGTCTACTTTGAAATCAATGGATGGACCCATTTCGAGAAGCTCTATTCTTGGCACATTGGTGGCACTCTTCATCAACAACACTCTGAAAAAGTAAATCCGAATCTATTCCTATGGATGGACCCATTTCGAGAAGCTCTATTCTTGGCACATTGGTGGCACTCTTCATCAACAACACTCTGAAAAAGTAAATCCGAATCTATTCCTTTCCCAAGCATCACTCCAAAAAGATGTGGTTCCGAATTTATCCCTTTTTCATAAACTAGCGTTATAACTAGCACAATAGCTATCCGCAGCGATTTATCCAAAACACCCAATTGAAGCTTCTGTTACGAAATCAGATTCTAGAAGAATGTGAGTAGAAGTAAGGTAAAAATCGACAGTTTTAGAGAAACGCTAAGCAAAGGGCTAACCTGTAAACCCTCATGTAAATCATGTTGTCCTTTGC